GCGTGCGTGCGTGCGTGCGTGCGTGCGCGCGCATGTGTGCTTGTGTTTGTGTACGTGTGGGGTCCTTTTGGAGCTCAGCTGTTTTCAGCAGATGTTTCCTTTAACTTTTTCTCCTGCTTCACGTAGCCTACCCCTTTCCTGTTTCAATTTGATGCTATTTGCCCGTGACGCAATGTGCTAGTTGTGGCTGGCTCGCAGTAATCAACAATTGAACCTTTAGGATTTTGTTCTTTGTGGTAAGGCCACCTACACACACACATGACAGCGTTGATAATCCCTGAAATATGCGGGGAAAATAGTTGTGGTAACACGTGTGATCGGTCCCACGCATACCGGGGCCAGTGGAGACTGTTGAGGGTGTCTGGGTCTGGGAGAGGGGGAGAGGGTTCTCACCGAATGGGAGAGAGGTGTTGTTCTCTTTTATTGGATGTGTGTATGTGCATTGTGTTGTTTGTGTAGGGTTGTGTTGTTTTGCGTTGTGTTGTATTATTTGTCTGTGTTTATTTGTGTGTGTGTGTGTGTGTGTGTGTGTTTGTGTGTACTGTGGGTGTCTGTTTGTGTGTGTTAGTGTTAATGAGTACATTATGTATATAACATAAAGAGAGAGAGAGAGAGAGAGAGAGAGAGAGAGAGAGAGAGAGAGAGAGAGAGAGAGAGAGAGAGATTTAGAGAGATTTGGGGTGGAGGGGGGAGAGAGACACACTGAGACAGAGACGGTGACACAGAGATTTTAAATGAGATTTTCTCAGAATTAGTGATTATTGTTTCAGGTGTCTGACGTAAGGATAATAATGGGGCCGCGATACATTTGAAAGTGAAGATGTGAGTCCTGCATTACTACGGAAAACTGGTTCCCTCGATTTGTAGCGCTTTTGAAAGACTTTTCAATTCTCATAATAGACGTACATTGTGCAGGTAGTACTAATGTATCTTAGAGCTTTAGAAAACGCTGACTAAGGGGAATACATGAATCGATGTGTCTATTTCATTGAGATTACTTCAGAAACTTGTTGAGAATGAGTCACGGTTCAGTGAGGTCACGGTTGGTTGCAGTGACATCAATAGCAATAAAAGAAGTCGCCGTGGTAAGAGGAATCAACACGCCCACATCCATGACGGGGGTGGTTCGTGCAGGGTTCAGACTAAAGTGTTACCGTAATGTCATTTTCGATTTTTGTAGTGAATCCCCTTGTCCCGTCTTTCTTTCTCTCTCTCTCTCTCTCTCTCTCTCTCTCTCTCTCTCTCTCTT